ACTAGCGAGTGCAAGTAACCAAACTGGGCTCTGACACATTTGTAAGTGCAAAGTCGAACTGCTTTTCACATGTTTAAACATGTGGTGCACTTACAGTAAAAGCAGTCGCCTACTTCTACCCACCATGATTACCTTGGCCTGTACCACGTATACTAGGGATAAGCAAAAAAAAAAGTAAGACCTACATCTAGCTTCTAATTCTTGAATAGTTCACACTGCTATATCTTTAAGATACAGTAAGTATTGTACAAACATATATTTCAGGGTACCATAGTGACAGATATATGAGGTACATACGTATAATAGGCAAACATCCCCAGAAATAAGAAAAGGTCGGTAGCCCGCAGTACAAACCGTCGGTTTCCGACAGCCATGAACCGGGGTCGAATCCCGCATTGGGCACTTTTATTATGAAGAACCTGTTTATATTTATTCATTGTAAATAACATAAGCTAGGTTGCTCTTTTTGAGCGATACCTAATAAAGTTATTTTGGAACAGGAAACATTCCCAGAGTATATGGTAGACAAGCCACCTGAGATAACGTCAATCATCGACCCAGTCCTCTGCAGCTATACCGTCCGTTGTCCGCATCCTACATGAGGTGCCATTGTTCAGAAACAAGAACATAGCAGATCTAGGCTGGGAAGTTGATAAACATCCTGATAGCAGTAACTACCAGTACTGGCATACAAGAGATGGAGATGTGAAGGGCGTCAAAAAACAGTTCTTGACCAGAACATAGCTGAGACGGTTTTTTAATGTTTTGGATTCTGTGATGTGTATGCAACAGTTCAGCAAGGCATTAACATCCCCAATTACACATTAGATTGTGAAGTAAAAACCTAGTCTAGATTATTCCGACCTGAGATTTAAATTAAATTTTAAAAAAGATGTCCAATGTGTTGTTAAAGATTGAAAATGCAAAGATTATAAAATATATATTTATAATCAAACTATCCGAATGATTCAGGTTTTGTACGAGAGGTTGTTTGCTCAACCAATATAGTTTTGTAAAAAACGACATTTAAAAATTATCCCGCATGTGTTTCTTTTCAACGAAAAATCAAAATTTATTTTAAGGAGAAATAATGATTATTTCTAACCTTAGGGATGAGGTATGAAAGGATGAATTGTGAAGAGTAATGATAAACGTGAAATAAAAGTGTCCAGGGATGGGAATCAATGGAATGGGAAACAATATAGTTTTATTAAAAAATTGGATGGGTTGGCGACGAAGTTTAGCAAAGATTACTGAAAAGAGAGAGATTGAATTGGAACTTCTTTATTACAATGTCCATATAAAGGTTAAATAATATTAAATAAGGATAAATATAGATAAATTAATTTAAAATATAAATTTAATAAATATACATATATATATAATATATACAATGTCATCATTGATGGTACCCACCGCGGGAAATACTCCGCCACCGATGGACCGCAAGAGTTTTTCCCACAGAGTGGACAGGTTGATATTCGCTTATATCCAATCGATTGTAACAAAAAATACGATGGGAATATTATCCATAGAGGTGAAGACAAAGCCGGGAAGAACAAGGTCATTAATTGGGTGCTGGACAGAACCAGGAGATTGCCATTTGTTGGAGAACCTGAGGATCAGCAGACTCTGAGTTGCAGAATAATACTGCAGATAATTTTCTTATAAATATATAAAGCACAAAGATTATTCACTCCCATTAAAAACAAAGACATATTAAATCTTGGAAACTAAGCTTAGTATAAGTAGTTGTTGCAGTAGTGTAATAAACCAAGGAATTCAGCAATGTATTTGTCATTCCGTCCTCAGAACATGTAAATTAACCTGTCAGCACAATAGTTGCATATTAGCGACTATGGCACTGATTCTTCCAAGACCTACTTGTATTCTGTTTTATCCAACGAAAGAAAGCTGTGATTTAGACAGATATCGGTCTAATTTGTATTTCGAAATTATGAAAGGCACTCAATTCCTATCTATCTTCATATGGCGCTAAAATTTCATCCAGATGGATCAAATAGTATGGAAACATACGCGAAACAAACACATAAACGTATTTTTTGCTTATTTGACAAAATTTACTTTGTACGAGTTAACACAAAAGTGCAAATTACTAGGGCCTAAACTAAGAGTAATCTAACACACAGAAAAGTGTACACTCTAGAGTAGAGCAACAACAATGAAAGAAAGTTAAATAAAAAATCACGAATTGCTATATAAAAACAAAACAGTACTTATCTTTATTGTAGCGTTGGTAGGGATCGGACCGGGGTCACACAGGTATGCGAGGAGATCACCAGACACGGATAAATCACGCAGAGAACACTTTAAGCGTCTCTACACAATAATCCACAACACTCGCTCCCTCGCAATCCCATAGCTCCCTTATATACAAACATAGCCACATTCGTTCAATGATAGGGCGGGAGAGATTGGTTCACTACCATACAAAAACAACATTCTTCCCACTAAAAACTGAGATAAGACAATGTTTGTCAATGTAATTTGTCAAATTTAGAAGACTACACAAATGGAGCTTAAGAATCTCTTCCACCATTCAAAAGTAGTATTGTCAAATTATATTGGCAAACATAAGCAGTTTTACGCTTATCAGTATTTAGCGGGAAGAATGTTGTTTTCGTTTGTTAAGTGAACCGATCTCTCACGTCTTCTCATTGGACGAACGTGGCCATGTTTGTATATAAGAGGGTTCATAGGGAATGCATAGGCGCCAGTGTGGATTATTGTGTGGAGACACTTAAAGCGTTCTCTGTGTGCTTTATCCGTGTCTGGTGATCTCCTCGCATACCTGTGTAACCCCGGTCTGCTCCTTATCAGCGCTTCAATAAAAGCTAAGTATTGTTTTTTGTTGAAAATAATCAAGTGATTTTATTGACGTCCTTCCTTTCTATTTTGTTGTATTTCTGAATATTTTCTCTGTGTTAAGTTACTTTTGTTTTATCCCCTAGTATTCCCTCGTGTGTAAACGGTACAAAGTAATGTTTGTCAGTATAAGACAGTAGGCTGAGAGGAACCACCTAATTAATTTATGAAGGGAGCCGTATCTCCGACACCACCGTCCAAGAGGTTGAGCCGACTGGATGGAATTCCAGCCATGAGCTGACTTCCCTATCAGGGAGTGGGAGGTATAAATACCGGGGGCGGGGAGCCGCCGACTGACCGAGGCAAACAAAGGTATCAATTGAATCATCACAGGAGCAGCTCGTCTAAATTTAGCGTTGGTGTGATCCACTTTGGTGAATAGGCACGACACCTTATCTTAATTGTCTACTTTGTCTTCGCTGCGCTTTGTTGCCTTTAACGACCAGGTTGGAGGGGGTAACACACCCGAGCTTACTTCCTTACTGTATGTGACTGTACTGTACTTCTTTCTACTTATTCACACGCTACGACTTATCGTATTCAAGTAAAAACTACATTTAAAACCTTCAATGCTCTTCCATAGGTTAATGGAAGAGACCTACAAACAATATACTTACAGTATTAGAGCTCTAAAGAAGCAGTCTGGTAGATTATATTGGCGAAACCGCTGGAAGGGTTCACCACTGATGAGCCAAGCCCTTCTAATATTTTTTCATCCCAGTAAGGGCAGTAGAAGTTTGATTTATTTATGAAAAGAAACATTCGCGTCTTGGTGTTTTCATTTTTTGTATATAGATGTTATTGTTTTGTAATAAACGTAAATAAAATAGAGCTAGGAGATTGTAACAGCATCAAGAATCCATATTCCGAACTGTGATACACGCATTCTGGTATCATTAACAAAATTCAAGAGCTATTAGAATCCATTCTCAATTAATAGTTACGTAGAAATCCTAAATATTAGTTCAATTTTATTTTTATGCCTGAAACCTATAAAGAAAGTTGGTTTTACAAGAACAAATATATAATATAGCTCTTACATTGGAAATATGTGTTTACCTTTCTTGTGTTTGCCTTTCAGAAGGAAAAATAGCTCTAGGAATTACATGAGTGATGGTCACACTTTTATAGTGTGGAAATGTGACAGCAAATCATAAGTTGTAGACAAATTCCAATTCTAATTGGTCTGTAACAAAAGTAATATAAAGTTCAAGAATTAACTCCTTTACCCCAGATGATTGCAGGATACCCCAAATGTAGCAGTGAATGACTTCATCCCGCGTGTGCAACTTTCTAAAAAACATAAAATTCAAGTTGAAGGTCAGATATGTCCAAGATAATCCAAGCTGGAGTCCCTCAAGGTTCAGTCACCGACCTATTTTTATTTGACGCAGCATACATAGATGACTTCCCATGCATCGAAGAATGCACTTAGTTGCTGGCGATGTCACCGCCGCCTTAGTCTCGGCATTCCCATCCGATTGATAACAAATGTGGTATCTTGTCCAAAAGAAGATGCCTATCGGGGGTAATGAGATGGCAGATGAATTGGCAAAGGAAGCCAGAAAGTTGAGCCAAAGGAAAGAACAAATGTCAGTGTTGTGTCTTTGCATATTTTCTCTTTAAACATTTGTGCACAATTTACATAGTATTAATTGAACGTATTTGTGCTATAAATAGGACGTAGTTAGCCAGTCCAGCCTTAGGAATAGAGTGGTTTCGTGGCCCGGAGCAACACGACAGTCAGTATTTGACGCTGATGCTTTGGAAAAATACAAGATAATTCAACCAAAAAAAAAGATCAAATTTGTGAAATAAACTCCGAGAGAAAACTGACAAAAACTATAACAAGACTTAGAACAAAACACTATAAAGTAATGGCAATACATCCAGATGGCACAAGAACCTACAGGACATGCAACAATTGTCTTGGTGTGGAACTAACACCTGCCCACATATTCTTATGCCCAGCAATGGCCGCAGCCTTGCAGAAAATTGGCATAGACCCAGAACAGCAGCTTTACACACCCAAGATAGAGGACATTGCTGCTGCTGTGATAGATATGCATAGAGATACCTGAAGCTCTTTATTGGACACAACAACAACAACAAGAAGCCTATAGCACCCGGTTTTCCAAGGTGGTCACCCTCCCAAGTACTGATCGGGCCCGACGTTGCTTAACTTCGGTGATCGGAAGTGAACCGGTGTTTACAACGTGGTATGTCAGTAGGCATATATAACAAATGAAAACATTATAAGACGCGAGTTTTTCTTTTACAAATATATCAAACCACGATTGTCCTTACTACGATCAAAAATATTGGGAGGGTTTGACTCATCAGTGGTGAACCCTCCTAGCAGTTTCGACAATTTAATCTACCAGATCGCTTCTTTAGAACTCTAATACTGTATTAGATATTTCTGCTTATATATGCTACATTGAAGGGTGGAATCTCAGAAATGTTATTCAAGTAAACTATGGACATGAATTTTTAGGACAGTAGAATTACATATAAATGTTTGCGTCGAACAATGCTCTTCCGCAAACAATAAGGACAAGGCCAGTTAGGCATAAGTTAATACAAAGCAATAAGGATAACAGAAGTTTTGATTTATTTGTGAAAGAAAAAACTCACTTTTTATAATGTTTTCATTTGTTATATATAGATGGCGTGTTATATTGCTTTGTATTACATTCGATAGAGTTTACATAAAGCTACCAAAGGTTTGCTTCCTTGCCAGGATTTGGTGCCAAAAATGGCACAATGGACCCTCAAAAAAACTGAAGCTATTATCTTCTCCAACAAAAACGCCTAACTATACGCACCTATGGATGAACTAGTGTTTCTCGACGCCGATGTGAAGTGTGTTGTGGAAGGACGTGGTTCAGAGGGACACCCTGAACCAACATCTAACTTTCCAAAAATATTGCAAGGAGGAAAATTAGGGAAGACAAACTTCAGGATGAGACAAATTTATTTTAGGCAAGAACAAACTATGAATGATAAACAAAAGATAAGCGAAGTTTACAGAGTAGTAAAATATAAACATAAAAAATTATACTCTGTTAATACTAGTGTAAAATAATAAATGCTTCGCTACATAGCTCCTTCTCTATGAGAGCTGTGACCCACAGCTTGCAATTATTGTAGATACTGACATGGATCTGACGTGCTTCTGCCAAGGATTCCATCGAAGTCTTGGAACTTTCTCCCTAGTACCTTTGCGTCCTTTTTCTTGCGGCGTGAAGAGCGGTTTTGCGTCGTATCGTCTATAGGGACATCGTCATTATCGAGGGAAGTCTTGGCTTTGACACGGCAGTGGAATCCTGGAGCCAGTCTCTAAAAATGTAGTCACAGCACCCATGGCTTCAAATTCTTCTCGGCGGTCTTCAGTTTGTCTTTCCTAACTTACCCAGCATCTCCACCAAAATGCCACGTGGAAAATTAGGGAAGATAAACTTCAGGAAGAGACAGAAATTTATTTTAGGCAAGAACAAACTATGAATGATAAACAAAATATTAGCAATGAGGGAAATTTACAGAGTATTAAAATATAAACATAAAAAATTATATTCTGTTAATACTAGTGTAAAATAATAAATATTTCGCTACAATATATTGAAGCAGTATAAATTTGAGGAAAGAGTAACCCATCTCTATATATTGCAAAAGAACAATTTATATGATTCTCATCTATGGCCATCCTAGTGACACATTTCAGCTTCTAAAAACAATTTAACAAGACTGTTTTTTTAAGCTTATTCCTAGTACACGTGATACAGGCCATTATAATCATGGTGGGTAGAAGTAGACAACTACATTTACTGTAAGTGCACCACATGTGTCTACTACATGTGAAAAGCAGTTTTTAACATATTAGAAACATTCGAAAACTAAATCACTAGAAAATGCAAGCCAAGATCGAAAGTATCAATATCTACATATTATATTGTCGCGTTTAAGGCCTGAAAACATCTACAACCTCCGCGCCAATAGATAGCGCTTTCGCTTGTTTCCCGTTTGAAACTTGTGCGGATATCGCCGACTGCTGTGGTCCTGTTTCCTGGAGCGAATAGTTGTAAATACACGTTTATATTGGCCCCAGGAGGTGACGTAATGTAAATACCCAATGTATGTTATTCCATTTGTATGTAATGTTTAGTAAAAATGACAATAAAAAGAGGAGTGTTTGAAGTCTCGGTGCCGGTTGCTGTTGTTGCTCTCGCCATCGCCACATTGCTGCTACTCTTCTGGTAAGTCTCTCGTGTCCCCCCACCAGTGGTAAGGCCGAGAGATACTGTCAGAGGAAAGGAGTTCCACTTGAGCAGTAGTTCTCGGACGTCTTTGGGTGTTCTGCAGGGTACAGCTGCAGAGGGAGAGAAACGGGAGCCCGGGCGGGTGATCCACGAGGGGAGAAGTGGCGTCGTCGCGAAGAATCCGGAGGGGCAGCGCGCGACAATATCAATCGTTCAACCTTTGGGAAAAACCATGGAATTTGAAAACCCCACCTTCACAGAGAAGCTACCAACTACAAAGGCGAAATAAGGGGGGGGAAAGAAACTTAAGAGACCTAAACAAATTCTCTATAAATTAAGCCGAAACTATGAAAATAGATGAAAAGAAAAAGAAACACATTATAAAAATGCAGCTGGCCAGAAAAAACTTTCTAAAATCGAAGATTGCGGACCTAATGATATAATTTTATTATATTTTGTAAATTTGATTAACACTCGTGTCCATGTAGACCCTTTATTGTAAATAATATGCGTTAATTGGAGTAAATAAACCATCCATTAAATATAGGAACAGTGTGTGTGACAAATTGTATGTGTAAAGTACCTGGATATATCTCTATGTTTTGAAAATAGAGCAATTAGTAGTTATTTAATTAAAAATGTATACATTGGATCAAAATTTATTTTACCAATATTTCAGTTGGCTGAACGCCAACCTTTATCAAGGTTCTTCAAATTAAAGATACTTCGGCCAGTATAAAAATTAATTCAAAGAACTATAAATGCCGGCCAGGCAGCCTCTATCTTTTTCAAGGTATTATAACATATCAATGTATGCTGACGAGCGCCAAAAGCGCGAAACGCGTTCGTGGATAGCTTTTCTTGATTTATCAAGAAATTGGGTTGGCCAAATATCAGGGAACAGGCTAAATCAATGTTTAGTTGATTTCTGTTCCACCAGATGGCGCTCTGGCTTCTGTAAAGCACATGTGCTCCTGGTCAGGATATGCCATTTTTAATATTGATTTCAACACCTGATCTTATTATCTATATTTTTTCTTTCGTTTTTTAATATCAATGTATGTCAACGACAAACTCAGCGTCCCATAACTTAATTCTATTGACGTTATGTGGCGGTTAAGTTTGTTGTTGACACACATTAATATGTTATAATACCTTGAAAAGGTTGGCGTTCAGCCAACTTAAATATTAGTAAAATAAATTAAATTTTGATCTATTATAGCCTTTTTATTTATATCTCTGTGTGTATGAAAACTGGTCAAATGGAAAAAAACGCGTCAAAATAGTTCAAATATCTTATAACAAATACATCATATAAATAGTATTTTATATATTTTAAATGACTTAAAATACCGCGCACAATGTCACACAGTGTGTACATACACAGTGTTGGGTATGATTCTGAAAGAGTAAACAAATAGAACTCTTACATCTCAAAATGCTTATGCTTTTCTAACACGTTTTGAAATATGTTTTTGCCAATCCAAACCTTACATCTGCCACAAAGTGACAATAAAGCTGTGACTGACATGAAGTTGAGCTACATTAGCTAGGAAACCCTAGGTAAATAAGTCAACAACGATGTGTAAGTAGCCGACGTTCCAGGTGACGTCTCCGCCCTGTAGCCAAATGATCAGACAACTGAAGCCCTCGACCCATTTCTTACAGTACCAGATACTAAAGTACATAGTAGCTACTAGTGGCTTGGCTTCCACTGTTATATTAAATAAATCAATATTGTGGGTGTGCCATGTTGCGGATAATTGGTGTTTGCAACACTTCTTTTCTAATTGGGCTTGGGAAATTTGACGCTTTTTTAATTCAAAATCTTGTACTTGAGGGAAACTTGAACGTTTTGTGGATAAAGAACTCTTTCGGAAAAAAATTTGACCTCCGTTATTTACTTGAGAGAAGTAAAATTGGTCCTTTTGCCCATTCTGGACTCGTGGAGGACTTTTTAGTTGCACTTCCACCGATTCTGGACCTGTTGAGGACTTGTTAGTTGCACTTCCACCGATTCTGGACCTGTTGAGGACTTGTTAGTTGCACTTCCACCGATTCTGGACCTGTGGAGGACTTGTTAGTTGCACTTCCACCGATTCTGGACCTGTTGAGGACTTGTTAGTTGCACTTCCACCGATTCTAGACCTGTTGAGGACTTGTTAGTTGCACTTCCACCGATTCTGGACCTGTTGAGGACTTGTTAGTTGCACTTCCACCGATTATAGACCTGTTGAGGACTTGTTAGTTGCACTTCCACCGATTCTAGACCTGTTGAGGACTTGTTAGTTGCACTTCCACCGATTATGGACCTGTGGAGGACTTGTTAGTTGCACTTCCACCGATTCTGGACCTGTTGAGGACTTGTTAGTTGCACTTCCACCGATTATGGACCTGTGGAGGACTTGTTAGTTGCACTTCCACCGATTTTAGACCTGTGGAGGACTTGTTAGTTACACTTCCACCGATTCTGGACCTGTGGAGGACTTGTTAGTTGCACTTCCACCGATTCTAGACCTGTTGAGGACTTGTTAGTTGCACTTCCACCGATTCTGGACCTGTGGAGGACTTGTTAGTTGCACTTCCACCGATTATGGACCTGTGGAGGACTTGTTAGTTGCACTTCCACCGACTCTGGACCTGTGGAGGACTTGTTAGTTGCACTTCCACCGATTCTAGACCTGTGGAGGACTTGTTAGTTGCACTTCCACCGATTCTAGACCTGTTGAGGACTTGTTAGTTGCACTTCCACCGATTCTGGACCTGTTAGGACTTGTTAGTTGCACTTCCACCGATTCTAGACCTGTTGAGGACTTGTTAGTTGCACTTCCACCGACTCTGGACCTGTTGAGGACTTGTTAGTTGCACTTCCACCGATTCTAGACCTGTTGAGGACTTGTTAGTTGCACTTCCACCGATTTTAGACCTGTGGAGGACTTGTTAGTTGCACTTCCACCGATTCTGGACCTG